AGTTTCTTTCCAAATGATAGTTCAATTTTTACTGTAGTTTTTCTGTTTCCTATTGTAGAGGAAATTCATAAATAAATAAATGGGAAAAAAATTAAAATTTCAACGGAAAACAGGGATCGTAGTATCTCTTTACTTGTTTGTGTACTTTTTATTTCAGCAGTTAGTTTGTTTTGAAAACTTCTTATAGCAATTCTACGAATGACCAATCTACTTTCCATTAAAATTTTAATTTTTTTCCCATTTATTTATTTATGAATTTCCTCTACAATAGGAAAGAGAAAAACTACAGTAAAAATTGAACTATCATTTGGAAAGAAACTTAAATATGTTGACGTCCGACTATGCTCATTTTAATTGTTTTTACGATTGACTCAAACACTGCTTTAGATTACGGTACAAGAAATTTGTTTTATTTTTGGAATTTCGCGCAAAGTTACTCGTGGGCTACCTGCGCTAGCCGTATATAATTTAGAATTGATAGACTAGTTGGAAGACAGCTAGTCAACATCACCCACTACCAATTTATAGGTTACTCTTTACCAAAGAATAGTGTGATTGACCGACACATTATAACACCCCCAAAGCTGCGAGTATGTTTGGTGATTGGATTCGAACTTGCGACTCGAGTCGAATGCCCTAACCAGTAGGTCATGCCAGACCCGGTATCAGAAGAAATAATGAAATTTATTATCCAATAAATGACTAGATGACCCAATACGAATGCAATCGATGGTTTTCTAAATTTACTCTTCTTCAGTTTTCCGGTTCCACCTCGGGTAGTCCATTTAAGTTGTTTAATCTAGCATTACCAATGAGATCCCTAGGAATCCAAAGGCATTTTTAAACCGCAGTTTTCTAAACATATTGTTTATGGGCCCATGACTTTGCTAGTTACAGAGCACCTTAATAATACAAGGGTCACACGCACACACAAACACAGAAATAAATTGATTATAGCAATCAATCCTTATAATTACTGGTAAGGTTCTCTCTCCATATATTTTACATATAAAATTAGCCATTACGCCCAATATTTTGTCAGTTTTTACACTGAGTTTTGTAACAGATAAAAAACAAAATTTCTTAATATGATGAAATATGTGAACCCCACCGGTGGTGAATGGTATGGAAACAAGGCGGTAATATGAGAGCCAACAATTTAACCTAAGTAGAAGAAATCTCACTTTTTTTTATTTTGTTATCCATTATTTTATTTTCTGGATTTTCCTCTCTTGTGTTGAAAATATACACCAGCTTCGCAAAAATAACTATCATTACTAGTAACTATTGTGGAGACAAGGTTGCGTCTCCTTAACACAAAGTGCGACAGTCGTCTAAGTTCTCAGCCTAGTATTTGCATAACTAATAAAAGTGAAAAAAAATACTAAAGAAATTAGTAATGTTAATACTTTTAAAAGGTTCTCCGGCGGCTAATTCCGAGAACTTTTCATGCTAAAAATCGTGTTTTGATACCTGCAATGGGCAAAACACAGATAGACCATGTGCTTAATAACAAACAAACACTTAAAAGATCATACGTAAGGCATCCTGTACTGTTTTACTTCAAAAAATAAACACTTTTATTTATTTTTAATTTGAAATAGTAAACTACCTATTTTCAACTAAAATTTCTAGTTTTTAAAATCCAACTGGAGATTATTAACAAATAACTAAAAACAAGATGTTTCAATATGAAAGAACCTGTTTCAACAAGCGCAAATTATTGAAAAGGAAAAAAAAATAAAAACAATGACAATACGCCAAGTTGAAATACAAAATGGCCTACGAAACCAATAATTGTACTGATCACCAGCATTCTCTTTAATGTGCTATATAGTTGTAGCGTTTTGGCCGAAGTTTGTGTTTTCAAAAATCAATACTTGTGCTCTTATTAAGACAGCAACAGGTGATGTTACATCATGTTCAAAAACAAACCTACGTATAATAAGACAAGTTTGGAGCAGGATATTTTTGAGGTTCTCGTCAGGACAGCAACTGGATCCGTCTCTGGAAGTTGTGACCAATAAATGTAACAATCACTGACTGCCATGCCTATAAACTTGGGCACGCTATTTCAGTTAGGGTGTTGACAAAGTAAAGTTAACAGAACGAAAATAAGACAATAAAGAATGTGTAAGCTACATGCAACAAAATCAAGCCTGTCCTCAAACTCATATACGGCACCTGCGACGATCGTATTGTTTGTTTGTTGTTAAGCACAAAGCTACACAATGGGCTATGTGAGCTGCGTCTACCACGAGCATCGAAACCTGGTTTTTAGCTTTATAAGCTTTCAAGATTACCGCTGAACCTGTGGGTGGCACAACAACCGTAAGTAGAGGTGGGCAATTTTGTTATGGCGCCCCCTTTCGAAACACGCGCTTTGTTGCGCACCCCGTATGCCATATAACCTATTTGTTTATATACTGTACATGCAATTTTCGCATGTTGTTATTACTATATTACTTTATAGTAGTGATATTTGTATGGTAGTTGTTAAAACCTTTTGTTATTTTTAAAGTTGTAATTTTAGATATAATTTTTATATCCTGTAGTCATAGTTATGCACCCCCACCCTCCATAGCGACTCTCCGCGCCCCACAGGTCTATACTATATAATCAAGTGGGGAGAAGGAAGACTACTCAATCTTCGAGCACCCCCGATGATTAATTATTTTTAAAATAATTAATTTTAATCGAAATACCTGCCAGTAGTTCGAGTCTGGCCGAACCGTTAACAACCAGAGCAAATGCATATTTTAATTACAGGCAACACAAATACTTATACCATATATATATATATATATATTATATCTGAACTGCATGCCCCACAGTGGCACAGCGGTATGTCTGTGGACCAACGCTAGAAACCGGGTTTCGATACTCATAGTGGGTAGAGCACAGATAGCCCATTGTGTAGCTTTGTGCTTAATTACAAACAAAATTAACTCCACACATCGTGTCACCTTCAAAGCCAGCTTACAGACTTCAATGGATGTACACTACAAACATTTTATGAGTTACAGTTGCCTTGGCTTCACGCACCTTATTCCTTATCCCATGTACACATTTCTGGATATATCCATCGTTTGTTCTTCTGCAACACTACACGTAAATTGGTTGCACATTTGAATGTTTCTACACAAATTAGTGGGTTTCCAGTAATAATTTTTATGAGAAGTTTTCGAAATTTTAGTAACCTCCAATTCTACCGAAATACGTCCATAGATGTTTACTGTTTAATTACATTTGTTGGGCTACAATTATCTCAGCTACAATTCTGTTGTGATAACTCTCAATTCAGCATCATATTTCTGTTGATGTCCACTGTTTGACTGTCACGCTATACAAATTTTAGCTGCAGGTGATTTCCATTTCTCAAGCCCACCTTTACAATTGTGTAAGTTTTCATTACTTATTTAGTTTTTTCACTACATAACCTTTTTATCTCCCAGATTCATCTCCATAATTCAGTGAATTTCAACTTTTTTTTTTTATTTGATGTACTTTTTATATGAAATACATTCTTGGCATAGTCAAGACCATCTTTGGATGAGTATTTATCAATATAACACGAATAGGGTCATAATGGTGACCATATATATTTTGATAACTTACGTCCCTTGTTCTAGTGTACACACTGTTTTCTAGCTATGACAATTTTTTCGTCTTTTCCAAGCTATAATTTGATACATTAATTAAGCACAGACTTATTTACCCAGTGAGAGCGCAAAGAGCCCTCGCGTAGGTTTTAGCGAAATTTAAAACAAATCATAGCAAACCATACTCAGTGAGGCAAAAATGACCTACCGTGTGAATTAGATCGCTACTGT